TCCATGAACTAAGTAATTGATAAGCTGGACTTTGCTAAAATTAAAAACTTCTGCTCTGTGAAAGACAATGTCAAGAGAATGTAAAGACAAGCTACAAATGCAAATCAACAAAGTAAAAAAAAAAAAAAAAGACAAGCTACATAATGGGAGAATATGTTTGTAAAACATACGCCTCATAAAGGACTGTTATGCAAAATACACAAAGAACTCTTAAAACTGAACAGTAAGAAAATGGAAAACCTGATTAAAAAATGGGCAACAGACTTTAGTCAGATACCTCACCAAAGAAAAATACTGATGGCAAATAAGCATATGCAAAGGTGCTCAACATCATGCCATCAGGGAAATGCAAATTATTATTATTTTTTGAGACAGAGTCTCACTCTGTCACCCAGGCTGGAGTGCAGTGGTGTGATCTCGGCTCAATGCAACCTCCGCCTACCGAGTTCAAGTGATTCTCCCGGCTTTAGCCTCCTGAGTAGCCGGAAATACAGGCGCCTGCCCCCGCACCCGGCTAATTTTTGTATTTTTAGTAGAGACGGGGTTTCACCATGTTGGCCAGGCTGATCTCGAACTCCTGACCTCAGGTGATCTGCCTGCCTCCGCCTTCCAAAGTGCTGGGATTACAGGTGTGAGCCACCACGCCTGGCAGGGAAATATAAATTAAAATAACAAAATCTCCTACGCACCTATTAGAGTGGCCAAAATCCAAAACACTGACAACACTAAATGTTGGTAAGGATGTGGAGCAACAAGAACTCTCATTCATTTCTGGTGGAAATGCAAAATAATACGGCCACTTTGGAAGACAGTTTGACAGTTTCTTACAAAACTAAAGGTAGTCTTACCATAATTAAACATAGTATTACCATATGATTCAGTGATCACACACTCATCGATATTTACCCAAATGAATGGAAAACTATGCCCACACAAAAGCCTGCACATGGATATTTATATAGCAGCTTTCTTTCCTCATAATTGCCAAATCTTGGAAGCAATGAACATGTCCTTCAGCAGGTGAATGGATAAACTATACAACCAGACAATGGAATATTAGTCAGCACTAAAAAGAAATAAGGTATCAAGCCATGAAAAGATAAGGAGGAAACTTAAATGCATATTACTAAATGAAAGCTAGTATGATATGGCCTTATAATTGTATGATTCCAACTAAACGACATTCTGAAGACAGCAGAGCTAGAGAGACAATAAAAAGATCAGTGCTTGCCAGGGGTCAATGGGAAGTGAGGGATAAACAGGCAGAGCACAAAGGATGTTTAGGGCAGTGAAACTCTTCTGTATGATACTATAATGGTGGATACATGTCATTTTATGTAGTGAATGACTGATTGACTGATTTGACAGGAGCTCATTCTGTTACCCAGGCTGATGTGCAGTGGCACAATCATGGCTCACTGCAGCCTTGACCTCCCAGGCTCAAGCAATCTTCCCACTTCAGGCTCCTAAATAGCTGGGACTATAGGTACACACTACCATACCTGGCTAATTTTTTTTTTTTTTTGTAGAGACGAGGTCTTACTATGGTGCCTAGGCTGGTGTTGAACTCCTGGGCTCCAGCAATCCTCCTGCCTCGGCCTCCCAAAGTGCTGAGACTACAGGTATGAACCACTGTGTCTAGCCTCATTCTATATTTCTTAACATCTACAGAATGTGCAATACCGAGAAGTGAATCCTAATACAAAGCATGGACTTAGGTGATATGTCAATGCAGGTTCATCGAATGTAACAAATGTATCATTGTGGTTCAGTATGTTGATAGTGGGGGAGGCTAGTGGGTGTTAGGACAGGAGGTATATAAGAACTATCTGCACTTTTCACTCAATTTTGCCGTGAATCTAATACTGCTCTAAAAAAAATGGTTTCTTAATTTAAAAAAAAGCAAAGGAAGAACATAAATGAAAAAAGACTGAAAACCGCTAAGTAAATATGAATAGCTTCTTGCATATGCATTCTCATAGAGTGCTCAGAAAAGAGTCTCAAATTTTAAGCTCCAAGTAGAGTACCCATTGTTTCTTCTTCTTTTTTTTTTTTGAGACGGAATCTCGCTCTGTTGCCAGGCTGGAGTGCAGTGGCGCAATCTCGGCTCACTGCAACCTCTGCTTCCCAGGTTCAAGCAATTCTCCTGCCTCACCTCCCGAGTAGCTGTGACTACAAGCATGTGCCATCACGCCCAGCTAATTTTTGTATCCTTAGTAGAGACGGGGTTTCACCATGTTGGCCATGATGGACTTGATCTCCTGACCTCATGATCTGCCTGCTTCAGCCTCCCAAAGTGCTGGGATTACAAGAGTGAGCCACCGCATTCGGCCCACTACTTATTATTCTAATGTTAAGACAGAAAAGCAAAGCATAGCAGAAAGTCCAGCTTCCAAGCAGGAACTGTTGTCTCCTTGACAGAGCTCCAATCCAATTATGCCCTAGCCACTAATTTTTCTATCACCACCTCCCCTTTGTTTCAGAGACAGTATCCACAACCTTCTGTTCACGCGGTAGAGGAAGAAATTACTTCCCAGAAAGGCTTAGCCCACTGCATTCTACTAGATAAAGGAAAAACAAAAAGCCATTCTACTCTGACAAGCCGATTACTGTCTATGGAGAACCAAAATGCCTCCCTTAGGACTAAGGGAATAGCCAACAAGGTATAGTATGTTAAAATCTTTAACCACCACTCTGCCAAGAGCTGTTATGTATGTGAATACAATCCTCTTATCTGGGCAGTCAAATATGCATAACTGAAAGTACAAGCCTCCATAGGCCCTGTCTATAGTTTCAAAATGCACAGAAAGTGAAAGAAGGCTGAAATAGTCTCCCCTTTCCACTACTGCAATTATCTAGGTAAAGCCTAGAAGGAAAGAACAGGAAAGACTGAATAGGGAATAGCTAAAGTGTTGAATATTATATGATATTTTATAAAATATACACAGATATCTAGACCCCTGAAAATTTTAGAGTAACTACTTTTATTGTTCCCTCACAATATGCACAGCCTAAGGAGACTACAGTCTCCCTCTTAGTCCTAAAAAGTAGGTGAAACTGAAGTAAAATGACAAATGTCTGAAGTTATGAACATAATAAAAAATTAATGTGCATAGATTGCTATTACGAAAAAAAAAAAAAAGATGTTCACTGAAGTGACAGATGTCTATGATACTATTTACCCATTCTGGTATTATACAAACTCCAGGTATATACTACAACTGAGATCTTTAAAACTATCTGAACACCTCTTTTCACTTGATTCAAATAACTATGCCAATGAAAGATTTGTTATTGTCAGTGAGCTTGGGAACAGAGACATAAAATGGAGGTAATCAAAGCTTAGCATTAAAATGTAGTCTTCATCCACCCTATTAAACTGTCACTGTCTCTCTGATAACCTCTCAGTAGCCAAGCTTTTAGCTCTGTTCTATAGGCTGCTTCCCTGAACCACTTTTTCTTTTCTTTTACTTTTTTATAGGAAGTCCTGGCATCACACACACAATACATATACACACACAGGCACACACATGCACGCTCACACACAACTAACTGGTCTATCAGAGGCACCCAGCAAAATAAACAAATGAGATCTATGGAGACCAAGAATGATCATTTTCATCAGTTACAACCTTACCCAGTGAGCCATTCTCAGTTCCGAAGCCAGGAACTTGACTTCGTGGTCAGAGGTGGAAAAGACAAGATTCTAGTTAGATACTTCCTGCAGTTGAAGGTACAATTTCACATGATTCACAGATAAACAGTGAATCATTATCAGAATCAAGAAGGAAAATGTGCCAGATGCGGTGGCTCACACCTGTAATCCCAGCACTTTGGGAGGCCAAGGCAGGTGGATCACTTGAAGTGAAGAGTTTGAGCCAGCCTGGCAAACATGGTGAAACCCTGTCTCTACTGAAAATACAAAAATTAGCTGGGTGTGGTGGTGGACGGCTGTAGTTCCAGCTACTTGGGAGGCTGAGGAGGGGAATCACTTGAACTTGAACATGAAGGTTATAGTGAGCCAGATTTGCACTACTGGGGTCCAGCCTGGGCAGCAGAGTGAGACTCTGCCTCAAAAAAAAAAAAAAAAAAAAGAGAAGAAGAAGAAGGAAAATGTGGCTCATGCCTGTAATCCCAGCACTTTGGGAAGCTGGGGTGGGCAGATCATTTGAGGTCAGGAGTTGGAGACCAGCCTGGCCAATATGGCAAAACCCCATCTCTACCAAAATAATACTATTAGATTCTCTGGTCTCTTTTGATCCTCTGTATATACTTCTACATATTTGATCACTTAAATTATTTCATGTAAATATTTCCACAAATCTACATAGCCATATATTTTCACTTCTGATGATAAATTATAAACGAAATGTCTATTGCATTAATATAACACAGTTTCTAAGGGAAAAGGAAAAGGCAGATACCTAGAGGTGCTATGACATCAATGAAAGACAGGATGTGAGACCTGAGTGTGGAATTGCATTATTCAACAGGTAAGATCTTCTATGTAGCCATATGGCAAAAATGTCAGAGAATAAGCAAGTTAGCAATCACTGAGCAGATCATACATCTCACTATCCTGTTGTTCTAATCATACCCTAATTACGCCTTAGTAATATTTCCTCTTACCAATAAGTACGGCAGCCACCAGAACAAAAGCCCCAATTACTACACGGCACTAGTCAAAGCAAGATACCCATCCTTTGTCTGTGGGAGCTTGTGGGCATAAAAAAAGGCAAGAAAGAAGGAAATATGGATCAGGAAGTAACCTAGCCTAGAATGCACAAAGATGACACCCACAATGCTTCTCTGGGCTTTTCAGTAGAAGTTGCTGAAGCCATGAAGGTACCAGTTTTCTAGTTCTGTCTACATTTCTGATTGGGCAAAAATTAATTTTCTTTCCTCTTTAGAACCATGTCCTTGCTGCAAAATGATGGTGTTTTACCTCAGAGAGTAGACACATTTCAGCAGCATTACCAGGCAAATAAAAAACACTGTACATTAAGGCTGAGGCAGCTGCAGAAAGATTTCTTCCTTTTCCTAAGAATTTATATATATATATATATATATATATATACACATTTTTCCCCCCCACAGGCACAGCTCAGCTACAGATTTAGCTTAGCTCTCTTTGGTATGACAGCTAGATATATAGATCAGTAACAAACTATATCAAATACTTAGTTGACTGATTTGGACCATTATCCAAAAAAATTACTTATTCATTTTTTTCTAGGCTAGATGTGCATACTGAAAAATAATAAGGAAGAATTTAACAGAGTAGTTAAGAGTGCTGGTCTGGAGTCTAACCATCTGGGTTCGTGTTACAACTCCATCACAAAATACTGAGTAACCCTGTACAAGTTAGTTCTCTGAGCCTTAGTTTTCTCCTTGGTAATTCTCCCTCAGAGGTTGCTAGGATTAAATAAAACATCCCTGTAAAGTACTTTGGCATAGTACATGACATAAGCTCAGTGAGCTATAATTATTGCTGCTGTTGTATCAATAAAATCAAATAATTTTCACTGTATTTTATTCTCTCCCTTCCCTGTATGCTTTCTGGATGGAAAGATCATTTTGCCATACCTAATGTAAATATATTTCCTCTAAATTGTGTATGTATGTATGCATACATTACCTGTTAATATGCACTAACTGATGTTAACCCTGACCATCATGCTAAGAACCTTCTCTAGGCTAATGTTCACTTTACCACAGAGTTAGTTCAGTCTGACAAGTTAAGAAAGTAACTGATCCAAGACTAGCATATTCTTATATTTAGTCAAATATAGAGGGTAAAGAGATATTATCTCTACGAAAAAAAAGATACTACTCCATACCAAGGAGCTAGAGTTCTAAGCAGACAGGAAGCATGAGTCCTAGAACTAAAGAAATCAGTACTTCTCCTTCCCCTATATTTTATCAACTGAAATTTTCCAGAGTGGGTAAAGGAGGAAATGGTTCTTTCTTTCCAAATTAAATTGGTTCCAGTGTTTATCTGGGCTATTCTTAACATTTATACTTCTCAAGTAGCTTCATTTTTTATTTTTATTTTTTGGTAGTGTCAGGGTCTCGCTTTGTTACCCAGGTTCATCTTGAACCCCTGGCTTCAAGCAGTCCTCCTGCTTTGGCCTCTCAAGGTGCTGGGATTACAGGCATGAACTTCTAGTAAAAGAAGCTGAGATAGCCCAAAATAAAATGCAAAAGTAAATCTGTGTATCTTTTACATCTTCATAAACTTCAATATCTCCTTTGCTAAGGGACCATTCTACCTATGCCAGTCTACATCTGTGATCCCCTAGCCCCAAATAAAAACATCCATTTCTTTAGGTAGCAATATCACAGTTGTCATTAAACCAATTCATACTGAAGTGTGAATGATAGCCCCCACAGAGTTCTCCATAGTTTTCCAAAAACTTCATAATTTACATGAATCTTTAATTAGTGTAGAAGTACAAAAGTTTATTTCTGGATGGGGAATCTTTGCACTGATCTTCTTCAATCACATATAAAGCTGCCCATGGGAAGAAGGGAGAGAAGGAGATGTTATTGTACTCAACCTAATCAAAGGAAAAAGAATCAAATGCTCTACTTCCTTTTGCTCAATCCAAATACCTTGATTCCCCAGATACAGCCCATTCAGTGTTCATCTTGTCCTTGCTCCTAACACCTAGAATCAATAAAATGTCACTAGGCAAGCTAATTCCTATAACATCAGACAGACCCCCAGCAGAGAAGAGGAAAGGCTGGCCACCTACATCTCCCTGGATAAATGCTTGGAGTTTTAGGTAGAACTTGGAGCTGTGGAACCTCCCACATCTAATTTTCTCTCCCTTTTTTTTCCTAACAATTTCTAGTTACATGCTTATCTACTCACAATTTTAAAAAATTAGAGGGCTATATGATTCCTACTACATGACATTCTAGAAAAAGTGAAACTACAGAGACAGTAAAAAGATCAGTGGTTACCAGGGGTTCAGGAGGGTGGGATGAATAGGTGGAGCACAAAAGATTTTTATGGCAGTGAGACTATTCCTTACGGTATTATTATTATTATTATTATTTTTAAGACGGGGTTTCACCATGTTGGTCAGGCTGGTCTTGAACTCCCGACCTCAGGTGATCCGCCCGCCTTGGCCTCCAAAGTGCTTGGATTACAGGCGTGAGCCACCACTCCCGGTCTATGGTATTATTATAGTAGATACATATGTGATACATATATGGTATATATGTATGTGATACACATATAGTAGATACACTTGTGAAACCCCACAGAATGTATAGGCAGTGAACACTAATGACAACTATGGCCTTTAGCTAATAATAATGTATCAATGTTGGCTCAACAACTGTAAAAAATATAGCACACTGATGCAAGATGTAACAATAAAGGAAACCGTGGGTAGGGGTGGAGTGAGGAGGTATATGGGAACTCTCTGTACTCTCCACTCAATTTTTTCTGTACACTTACCACTGTTCTAAAAAATAGTCTATTAATTATTTTTAATAGAGGAAACACTGATTAATAATCCCCACCAGGTACAAAGACTAATAAGAGCCAAGATAAGCTGTATAAAAAGGATGTAAAAATGTAAAAAATTAAGACTGTAGGGCTTGATCTCAAACAGTAACTAAAGGACAGTAACTAAAGACAGGAAAGAAGCTTGAGGAAGTGAAGGATGGAAAGACAACCACACAGTGGCATTTTATAGTGACTGGTGTGCAAACAACTAAAATAAATTTATTTCCCTCAGAGAAAGAGAACAGAAGCCAAGACACTTATAAGGGACACTGAATTTCTCAGCAGAAAAATCACCCCCATTAAGCCTCTGGCATACTTTCGAGTATCACCCTGATGCCTCTCCCTGTGGCTAAGGAATCAGAGCTTGTCACTGTAACCAAGTCAGCAACCTGTGCTGGTGCCAATCTTTATAGTGGATTGAGCTATTTTTCAGGAAAAGCAAGGGATAATTGCCCAGTATCAAAAGAAGATCTGACCCTTGGGAGGGGAAAGGAGGTGTTCCTTTTGCGACAGGATGGTTCTCTCTGGAATAACATAAATGGCTCTTTGAGAGACCATGTCTTTGATAGGCAGCGCTGCAACTCTGACAGCCAATCTGCTGAATGCCGAACAGAGCACTCAGCTTTCTACAATGACTCAAAGGACACGGCAAGGCTGCAGATTTATTCTGCTGACTTTCCCTGCACAGCCACTCAAGTTTTTCAAAGGCAAAAAGGAGGAACTCTTGCCTTTCAATCCAGGGAATTGCAAATTCCACTGGGATTTAAAGACAGAGCTATGTTTGCTCAAAATTTGACATCATTGATGTGAACAACAAGATTTAAAAGCTTGGAATTATGGCTGGCAATTTTAGCAGTTAGAGCAGAAGTTGGTTCAGCACTTCAATCTGCCCGCAGAATCAGCAGCCACACAAGGGCACATGGAGTGCCAGACTGGGAATGAGATAATTTCACAAAATTTATTCTCATTCTCTTTGGACTTTCACAGACAATTGCAAATAGTCCAGAATCTTACCAAAGCACAAATACAAAGGTAGCATATTTCACTGCACAAAGAAATTTCAAAGTAAAAACACAAAGGCACTGTTACAAAGAGATAAACCTCAAAGCTTCCATCTTTTCTCCAGGATGCTTTCCGTCTTGAAATCCTATCCTTAACATGACAATTTTGTGAGAGAAAACTTTTACATCTCCCTACAATAAACTATTAAAAGCATTTCTTCGTCACAACTTGTATGTCAATTCTTCAAGATGAAATTTTGAAACAGCAAAGGATTCTACACATTCTACCTCAAAAAAAGAGCCATGTGCTATAATTTAAATGACAAGCTCTCTGTGGTTAAATAGATTAAGCCCTCAACAGACAAAAGAAAATTAGGCTTGAGAGTTAAGATACCCAATTTCTGTTGAAAACATTTTTTGTTATCTTATGATAAGCAAACAAACAAACAAAAAACCCCTCAAATTTAGGGGTAATCAGTTCTATTGTGATTTTTTAAAATATGTATTATTGTACTAAGCACACTAATACAATAGGTACTGAAGTAAAGAGATTAGCAAAACAGCACAGAAAATCATAAGCAGAAAACCAGAATAAAAGTTTTCCCCAAACAAAATACATAACCTTTTCACAAAAATTAATGGAAAGAGGACAAAAAAAAAGATGCTTTGCTTTATAAATAATATTGGCAAACACTATACTTTATGTATTCAGTTTTTAGACATAATCAAAGGCCTGACATTTAACCAAATGTCAAATAGCACTGTCATTCTTTCAGAAAGGTTTATCATTTGGTGATAAAGACTCTATTCAGATCAAACTCTCAATGTGACTGTACTCCATAATTTTCTTAAAATATTATAAAGTCCAATTTAAAAGGGACTTTGGGCCAGGTTCGGTTGCTAACGACTATAATCCCAACTACTTGGGAGCCTTAGGTGAGAGGATTGCTTTAGGCTAGGAGTTTGAGACCAGCCTGGACAGCACAGCAAGACCGTGTCTTTAAAAATAAAAACATAAAATTAGCCAAGCATGGTGGTGTGCACCTGTAGTCCCAGCTACTCAGGAGGCTGAAGCAGGAGGACTGCCTGAGCCCAGGGGTTGGAGGCTTCAGTGAGTTATGATTGTACTATACTCCAGCCTGGGTGACAGAACAAGACCCTATCTCTAAAAAGATAAATAAATAAAAGTGGTATTGTGTTTAAGTCACTGGCATATAGTTAAAAAGCTTAAGTTTGCCCAGTCACAACCCTTTGAGCAGAATGTTGAAACTGTTTTTCTCTTCAGAAAAATCTTCCAGAGAGCATATCTTGTACCTTGTTCATAATGTACAATTTATTGGCATTTCTTTTCCTTTCTAAATGGCCAGGAGGGAAGAAGAGCTCCACAGCCCCTGTATGTGGTTAGTAATGGCGCTTTTACTTGTCATTGTACAAAGCCTGTTAAATATTTACAACACAGACAGCAATATCTAGTCCTAAACACCCAGTTGTGAGTTTGAATTTTTTTAGAAATAAATCTATGACAAGTTTTCCCCAGCAAAATGCCAGACGACTTTACTAACAGCTTCAAGAGACCCAGCGGGTCCAAAGGAGCAGTTATAGGCCATCTGGTGATTACTTATTATTATTTATACAGCACTGTAGATGTACACACAGATGTGTTATGAATCCACATACAGAGAGGCCCTAACAAGGGCTTCAGACAGAATGCGACTGCTGAGCAAGTCAATCTGCATTAAAGAAATACACTAACCAGAGAGAGGGAGTATGCTGGCTGCTTTTTAATCTGCTGCATTAGCTGGAAGACAGTTCGATAAAAGAATGAAGAATTCTATACAATGCCAATATCTTGTAAGTCAACAACCTATCTATATGCTATATGTCATTTTGCCAGGGTGGCAAAAGAAGGATAAATGAAAGACAGGCTCTCAGATTCAGAACGCACTTTGTAAACTCAGCAATCTGTAAAAGAAGGGAGTAACCGCTGGGCGCGGTGGCTCAAGCCTGTAATCCCAGCACTTTGGGAGGCTGAGGCGGGTGGATCACGAGGTCAAGAGATCGAGACCATCCTGGTCAACATGGTGAAACCCCGTCTCCACTAAAAATACAAAAATTAGCTGGGCATGGTGGCGTGTGCCTGTAATCCCAGCTGCTCAGGAGGCTGAGGCAGGAGAATTGCTTGAACCCAGGAGGCGGAGGTTGCGGTGAGCCAAGATTACACCATTGCACTCCAGCCTGGGTAACAAGAGCAAAACTCCGTCTCAAAAAAAAAAAAAAAAAAAAGAAGTGAGTAGGAAAGAGGCCTCTTAGGAAGAACTTAGCTACAAAGACAGGATTTTATTTTTTTTCTAACAGGAATACTCTGAGAACAGTTTCTGAGCTCCCATTTCAAATACTAACTTATACCTAAGAAAAACAAGAGTAAATAACTGAAAAATGTCACCTTAATTTATAATGGGTATATTGCCAATGAGATTCATACAGCCTTTTTTGGGAGGGGCAGACTGGAGCAAGGATGCTTTTAATCTACTGCGCTCTAATAAACATATATATATTTGTTTAAATATAACATGAAAAACAAAAATAACCAACTATATGTTTCTAAGGGCAAGTGTCAAGAGTATTAGATATGACATTAAGAAACTTGAGTTTAATTACATCTCTACATTTTAAAAATCCCAGTCCCAGGCCAGGTGCAGTGGCTGATGCCTGCAATCAAAGCACTTTGGGAGGCCAAGGCGGGTGGATCACCTGAGGTCAGGAGTTTCAGACCAGCCTGTCCAACATGGCAACACCCCATTTCTACTAAAAAATACAAAAATTAGCTGGGCATGGTGGTGGGCACTTGTAGTCCCAGCTACTGGAGAGACTGAGGCAAGAGAATCACTTGAACCTGGGAGGTGGAAGTTGCAATGAGCCAAGATTGCACCACTGCGCTCCAGCCTGGGCGACAGAGCGAGACTCCATCTAAAAAAAAAAAAAAAAAAATCCAGTCCCAATTTTGCCTATACGATGCATAAGAGTGGTCTACTTCCACCACAGGTTACTGAAGCATCCAGAGAGTGAACTGAAAGTTATTACAAAGTCAACATATTACAAAAAATAAGGTTAGCATTTGGCCTAATTTGTGTATAATGCCGTGTATTTTCAGCTGCCTGACAGCATGCAGGCACTCTTACCAGATGGGAACTAGATGAATTATTGAATGAAATATGAATTATTAAATAAAAATTAGAATTTTAAAAAACTCCTGGCAGAGGATGGGGAAAAAAGGCTTATTTGTTTGCCTGAAATTGCTTTCACCTGTCGAAACATGTAAACATGGCATATACTACCACAAATGGCATTTACCTACCAGAGCCATTGCTTTCACTTGTAATTCTGCAATTCAAGATGCTTCCCTAACATAAGAATCAGTAATCACCACCAACTCATTCTTTCCTGCTTTTCTTTTGTGCTTATGCAAGGTAATAGGGAAACTTGCCAAAGGGAGAGAATTAGAGATCCAGAGTCCCACAGTACCAGTATGGCCCATTTAATGGGAGGGCTGGGATAACAGGAATAATCTCTATAGATTTGTGTTGTATAGGCAATAAAACATATACCTTTGCAGCATGCCAGCCTTTAACCAATCATAGGAGCTATTTGTTGCCTCATATATTACAGAGCAATAGAGATTTAAGGGATAATGTTCATGGAGGCAGAGGATACGAAGCAATAAACAGCTTTGGAGGTTGGTTAAATGCCAAGTGAAGCCAGGACTACAACACCATAAACATTATTCCTATTATATGACAAGATAAGGAAGTACAAGAAGCTGCCTCAATCCCATCACAACTAGGCTCCATCACTATTGTTGGCCTTAGAAAGGAAAAGCAGGCCCCAGAGGTCTATGAGTTAGTTATATGTTTCCTGTCTCAGAAAGATATGAAGAGAATTTCAACCTGTACCTAAATGTCCTCTGGGAGAAGAAAAGAAGATCTGATAGTAGGTATTTTCAAGGAAAAAAAGAGTAATAGCCCCTCAGGGTCACACTGGACAGAGAAATAATCAAAGGATTTTTCCTTAAAAGGACAGAGGTGGGCTGGGTATAGTGGCTCACCTCTGTAATCGCAACACTTTGGGAGGCCAAGACCAGCCTGGCCAACATGGCCAAACCCCTTCTCTACTAAAAATACGAAAAAAAAATTAGCCAGGTGTGGTGACGCCTGTAATCCCAGCTACTAGGGAGGCTGAGGCAGGAGAATTGCTGGAACCCAGGAGGCAGAGGTTGCGGTGCGCCAAGATCGCACCGCGGCACTCTAGCCTCGGTGATAAGATCGAAACTCCTCTCAAAAAAAAATAAAAAATAAAAAAAAGGACAGGTGATAGAGAATATAGTTATGACAGAAACCTTTCTCACTGGCTAAGAGCAGGATGATACTAACTCTCCATAAGTAAAATCTCCTCAGAGGAAATGTGTTCCTGTTCTTAAGGAAATTGACATTCTAAGAAATAATCTGATTATGACCAGCTTCTATTCAAACACTTGATTATGGTAACCAGAAGGACTACTTAAATTGCATAATTTATACTGCAAACCTGTGTCATGTGCCTGAGAGGGAGGCATAGGAATAAAGAATTTGTTGATCCCCGGAATAAAAAACCGGGCATAAAGCATCCTAAAGATAAGTTATCTAACTGCATCCACATGAAATAACATCTAAAATTCAAGATTAGTGACAGAGACATAGTATGTATTCCTGTTTCCACATATAATGGAACAACTTTATAATCCATATTCAAGTAAAAGTGTCCTCCAAAAGTATTAAAAACTTATGACTTCCTATTAACAGATTCAGTACCAAACTATATTTCTATTATTTTAACAACAATACAAAGCTGTTTTATAGTCACAATGTCCTTAAATAGATGCTATCTTATAAACATTTCAAAAACCCATACAACTCAGATTCAACCAGTCCTCTGCCAAGAGGGTATCTGGGGCACTATTGCCTTAACAACACTAACCCCATTCTCAGGAGGCAGCTCTATTAACTACTCCTGCTACCACATTCCACAGAGAGGTATTAGCAGGGATATTGCTTTCCCTGAGTTCCTCTTCATCAGGTTGATGAGGCCTCTAGAGAAACAAAAAAATCTCAACAGGAGAATAGGATTAACAGGGCTAAAAAACCCTATCACTTGTCTTTTCCGGTAAGAATGCAGACAGCACAACCTTCAGCAGCTTTTTTTTTTTTAAGTACATGCAGCATATTTAGAACTCAGCTGTGTCACATCAGACTTACTGTTGGGAAGTGGATCATGAACAGAATCCAAAAATAACAGCCATTAAAGACCTAGCAACCAAAACATGTTTACGTATCCATTGAAAGCCTAGTGGTTTTGATTATATAGTGAAGAGCATAATCCACTAGTCTATTTTAGGTGAATTTTCCTTTCACCTTCCCTTAATATTAAGGCACAGGATGATTTCTGACTTTAGGAATGTATAGGGTGAAGTCTGGGCAATGAACAGATATTGAAATAATGCAAGATTCCTATAGTTTTGTTTGTTTTTTAAGAAACAGTATCCTGAATTATAATTGTTTTCATTCCTACTTCCTTTACCTGGTAGAAACCACTGCTTTTTGAGACTTCTATGGTAGCAGGTTCTCAACCATGTCTTGCAAAAATTATCATGGTCCTTATTACCCATCCTGGGACTTACATAGCCTTTTTATTATTCTACCATTTCTGGAAGAAAGAACTTGAATCAATGACAAATGGATTATAAATAGCTTGAAAGGCTCAAGGTGGCTCCAGAATGAAATCATTCTCAAGGGATATTAAGGAAGTTGGATGACAGGCCAAGGGTAGTTCACTTTACCAAATTTATCTTCTCTGCCAGATTTTCACTATTTCATATCACATAAAGCAATCACAGTAAATCTTGTAGTGATCCCAATCTAGAGCTATTTGTTACCAGATAGTGGGAGAAACTTGGAAGAGACTAAATATTACTAAAGAACTATAATCTTACCTGACTATAAAGATTTGACATGCAAAGGAGGTAAAGGGATGAATTACTACCTTCAAAGCCTTAAGTTGTACTTTTGTATCCTTTTTCTATGAAACAAGTACCTTGAATCCAAAAGAAGAAGGTAGCAATGTTCCACACTCACCTTCCTACTGAGGGGAAAAAAGCTTTTAGAACCTAAGCCAGAGGTTATAATGAATCCTAATAATCAAAATACCAACGAGTAATTCAGAAACAGGAGAGAGATGTGGGGGAAGGAAATGGCTTCTGGTAAATGGAACCCAACCTTACCAAAAGGAACCAAAGTCAAAAGTCCCTACTATTTTCCTACCTCCAGTCCAAAACAGAGCAAAACAGAAACAAATTTCATAAATCTGTGACATTTCACAAATTTCAGTGTATACTACTTTCTTCTGATGAGACAGCTTGAAGAGATGTTTATATCTTTCTTCCTCGGAGAGCTTAAGAGATGCTTTTCTTGTGTATTCCTTATTTTTATCATCTATTTCTACTTCTTTGCAAAGTCCTTGTCGGTGGTTTTAAGCATATAACATATAAGGGGAGTTCAAGAGTTGAGTAGCTTAAATAATAAGTGAAGAAAAATAATGGTAAGTATGAGAAAAATACATCTTTTCACCAAAAATGCGTATTTTTCAAGTAAAAGTATAAAAGCAAGAAGTAATATTGGTTGTAAGCATCAGAGTAAATAGTATTATCTGATTCACATGTAAAAATTTGGAGAGATCATTTTTTAAAAAATTTATTTATTTTGAGACAGTGTCTTGCCCTGTTGCCCAGGCTGGAGTACAGTGGCATGATCATGGCTCACTGCAGCCTCAAACACCTGGAGTCATGTGATCCTCCTGCATCAGCCTCCCAAGTAGCTGGGACTACAGGAATGTGCCAACATACCTGGTTAATTTTTAATTTTTTTTTTTTTTTTTTGCAGAGATAGGGTCTTGCTATGTTGTCCAGGCTGGTCTCAAACGCCTGAGCTCAAGCAATTGCCCTGCCTTGGACACTGAAAGTGCTGGAATTATAGGCATGAGCTACCACACTGGGCTAGGAGAGATCATTTTTAGAAACGTATTTTAATGGCCGGGCACAGTGGCTCATGCCTGTAATCCTAGCACTTTGGGAGGCCAAGGCGGGTGGATCACAAGGTCAGGAGTTCGAGACCAGCCTGGCCAAAATGTTGAAATCCCGTCTCTACTAAAAATAAAAATTTGCTGGGCGCGGTGGCACGTGCCTGTAATCCCAGCTATTCAGGAGGCTGAGGCAGGAGAATCGCTTGAACCTGGGAGGTGGAGGTTGCAGTGAGCCCAGATCGCGCCATTGCAC